GAAACAACAGAGAATATCAAAACAACCATAAAACAAGTAACAAAATGGCAATTAAGTCATACCTTTGAATAAATACATTGAATGTAAATGGAATAAACGCTCTAATAAAAAGATATATACTGTCATGGGATGAATAAAAAAGCAAGTTTTGGGGCACCTGGGTGGCTTAGTCGGTTAAGCGTCCGACTTGGGCTCAGGTCATGATCTCACGGTTAGTGGGTTTGAGCCCCATGTCGGGCTCTCTGCTGACAGCTAGCTCAGAGGTCTGGAGCCTGTTTCAGATTCTGTATCTCTCTCTCTCTCTGACCCCCCTCTGAGCATGCTGTCTCTCTCTCTCTCTGTCTCTCTCTCTCAGAAATAAATAAAACATTAAAAAAAAAGCAAGTCCTATCTCCATGCTGCCTACAAGAGGTTCATTTCAGATCTAAGGACACATGAAGATTCAAAGTGAAGGGACAGGGAAGCATGTATCAAGCAAATGGATGTGAAATGAAAGCCTAGGTGGCAATAATTGCATCAGACAAAATAGACTTTCAAAGAAAGGCTGTACCAAGGGACGAAGGAGACACTATAAAATAATAAAATAAACAATCCATCCAGAAGATATAACCATTGTAAATACTTCAGCACCCCACATGGAAGCACTCAGGTATTTAACTCAGCTAATAACAAACATAAAGGAAGTAATCTACAGTAATACTATAATAATATGAGACTTTACCACCCCACTTATATTGATGGATCTACCATCCAAAAAGAAAATCGGCAATGAAACACTGGCTTTGAATGACATTGGACCATATATATCTGAATGATCTATTCAGTACATTCCATCCTAAGACAGCAAAATACACATTCTTTTCAAGTGCACAGGCAACATTATCCAGAATAGGTCATGTGTTAGGCCACAAAGCCAGTCTCAATAAATTCAAGCTGTTCAAAGTCTTACCAAGCATCTTTTCTGACCAGAACACTGTGGAACTACAAAGTAACTACAGCAACAAAAATCTTGAAAGAGCATAAAATACATGGCACTAAACAATAAATAGGTCAACCAAGAAATCGAAGAGGAAATTAAAAAATACATGGAGAGAAATGAAAACGAAAAAACAATGGTCCAAAATCTTTGGGATTCAGCCACACCTGTTCTAAATGGGAAGATTATAGCAATATAGGCACATCTCAAGAATCAAAAAAACCTGAAATAAGCAACCTAACTTTACAACTAGAAGTGGTAGAGAAGAAGAACAAATAAAACCCAAAAGCAGTAGAAGAAAGGAAAGAATAAAGAATAGGGCAGAAATAAATGATATAGGAAATTAAAAAAGAAAAGCACAATAGAACAGATGGTCATATATATAGCAGTGATATCACTGCTAGCATCATATTTAATAGTGAAAAATTGAAAGCATTTCCCCTAAGGACAGGAAGAAGACAAGGATTTCCTCTCTGGCTACTTTTATTCAACATAATCCTGGAAGTCCCAATCACAGCAGATGAGAGGAAGGAATAAAAGTTATCCAAAATGGCAAGGAAGAAGTAGAATGTTCATTGTTTGCAGAGGACACAGTATTATATATAGACAACCCTAACCTCCCGCCCTCAAATCTACTAGAACCAATAAATGAATTCAGTAAGGTCACAGGATACAAAATCAATATATAGAAATGCCTTGCATTCTATACAACAATAATGAAGCAGCAGAAAAAGAAATTAAGAAAACCATCACATTTACAACTGCACCAAAAATAAGAAAGTAGTTAGGAATATACTTAACCAAAGGGGCGAAAGACATGGACTCTGAGAACTATAAAACACTGATGAACAAAATTGAAGGTGACACAAGGAAATGGAAAGATAGTCCATGCTCATGGATTGGAAGAACACATCATGTTAACAAGTCCATACTACAGAAAGCAATCTACAGATTTAATGCAATGCCTATCAAAATACCAACAGTATTTTTCACAGAACTAGAGCAAACAATCTTGGAGTTTGTATGGAACCACAAAAGGCTCTGAAGGGCCAAATCAATCTTTAAAAAGTACAACAAAGATGGAGGTATCACCATTCCAGATCTCAAGTTATACTATAAAGCTGTAGTAATAAAAGCATTATGGTACTGGCACAAAAGCAGACACAGATCAATGGAAGAGAGCAGATAGCTGAGAAATAAACCCAGAATTTTATGGGGTATGTCAATTAATTTTTGACAAAGGAGGCAAGATTATGCAATGGCAAATAGAAGGTGTCTTTAAAATGTGATGTTGGTGAAAGTAAATAGCAACGTGCAAAAGAAAGACACTGGACACTTCTTTTTACACTATATGCCATAATAGACTCAATGTAGATTAAGGATGAAAATGTGCGGGACACATGGGTGGTTCAGTTGGTTAAGCTTCTGACTTCATCCAGGTCATGATCTCACAGTTTGTGGGTTTGAGCACCGCATCAGACTCTGTGCTGACAACTCAGAACCTGAAACCTGCTTCTGATTCTGTGTCTCCCTCTTTCTCTCACCCTCCTCTGCTCATGCTCATGCTCTGTCTCTCAGAAATGAATAAATGTGTGTGTGTGGGGGAAATGAACACAAAATGTGGAACCTGAATCATAAATATGCCAGAAGAGAGCACAGGTAGATAGTTCTCTGCATCAGCTGCAGCAAGACCTTTCTAGAAATGGCTTCTGAGGCAAGGGTAGCAAAAGCAAAAATAAAATATTGGGTCTACATCGAAATAAAAAGCTTCTGCACGGCAAAGAAAACAATCAACAAAATTAAAATAAAATGTACTGAATGTGAATAGGTATTCATGAATGACATATCCAATAAAGGGTTATGGATATACAAGGAACTTGTGTAACTCAACACCAGTAAAACCAAGAATCCAGTTAAAAACTGGGCAGAAGGCACAAGTAGACATTTCTTCAAAGACATCCAGATGGCCAAGAAACACATGAAAAGATGCTCAACACCACTGAACATCAGGGAAATGCAAATCAAAACCACACTGAGCTATCACCTCACTCCTGCCAGCTTGGATAAATTTGAACAGGCACACAAGAGATGAGTGTTGGGGAAGATGCGGAGAAGAAGGACCCTTGTACCCTGTTGGTAGGAATGAAAACTGGGGCAGCCCCTGTGGAAACAGTATGCAAAAGTTAAAAACAGATTTTCCATGTGATCCAGTAATCCCAGTACTGTATATTTACCCAAGGACTATGAAAACAGCTATTTGAAAAGATACATGCATCCCTATGTTTATTGCACCATTATTTACAGTAGTCAACTTATAGAAGCCACTTAAGTGTCCATGGATAGATGAATAAAGAAAATAGATTTGGTATATACATATAATGGAATGTACTAAGCCATGTAAAGGACTGAAATATTGCTTGCTATATGCAATGACATAGCTGGAGCTGAAGAATTTTAAACTACGTGAAATAAGTAAGTTTTTCAGAGAAAGACAAATATGTATTGTTTTACTCATCTGGGAGAATTTAAGAAACAAAACAAATGAAAAAGAAAAAGAGGGATAAAGAAAAAAACTGAATCTGAACAATATAGAACACACTGCTGGTCACCAGAGGGGAGGTAGGTGGGAATGGAGGCAAATGGTGAAGGAGATCAGGATTCTATTCATATTGATGAACACTGAGTAATATATAGAATTCCTTAATCACTATAGTGTACACTTGTAACTAATATAACACTTGTATGTTAAGTGGAATTTAAAAGAACAACCAAAGGAAGAAAAATTAGCCCAACACACCAAAATGTATAGTTCTTGGTTTATGTGTTATTTCTTCCCAAAGAGACTAAAACCTCCTTGAATAAAGTGATTGCATTGTGAACACTCGTTTCGTGCATGTAGCCAGGTGATTGCACCAGGCTGGTGTTAAGTGACTGTGCAGTGAGTGAATATATATTAGTTCAGGTTGAAGTGAGGGGGAATTCTTCAGATGTTTCAATGTCCTGTGGTGTCTCTCATGGCGACTGATTCTCCCCTAAAAATAATGGTGACCTGGTGGTGGTTGATGCTGTTACACAAGCAATCATGGGGAAATCTGGAAAAGCAAACAGGTCAAGTGTTAAAAGAAACCCATGGGCTCAAGATGGTGTCTCAGGCCAGGCCAAGTCCCCAAACCTTGTGCAATGCCCAAGCTAACTGCAGCTCCAGCCTCCCCTGGAAGTGTAAGTCTTCCCCTGTCAGCGAGGAATTCTCTGTTCATCACAGTGAGGTCCTCTGTCACATGGACCCTCTCCATCCCTCAATGAGGGGAGGTCATCTGTATGATTAGATCCCTGCCCTCCCAATTAAGGGAAAGTGACCTTCCCTGAAACATTTGTTTCTTGTCTTTTTCCAACTTTCTTCTTATAAAAAATCTCCTATTTGTACCACTCCTAGGGGCTCCCCTTTTCCCTGCCAGATGGGATGCTGCTTGAAACTTGTGTCACTTCATGCAAACAATTAGATCAAGTTAACCTGATTGATTTTGTTTTTTAACACAAGCAGTGACACATCAGAGATGTGAATGGGTTGGGTTGGGGGTGAGACAGGGAAGGCAGTCCATGCGGAGTGTCCCAAGGACAGGAGGGACAGGGTGGCAGCAGGGTCCAGGGCTGGGGGCTGGGGATTCATGTGTTTTCACGGGTTACTGTCTGGATGAGAAGAAAAGTCACGGGAGGTAGGGTCACTTTTCCATGCCACACAAGCCTTGTTCCCCAGCACCTGAGTTAGGGCCTCGGGGAGCAGGATGGAGGCAGGTGACTGGGAGAAGCTGGAAGCCCAAGAGGAAGGTCAGGCCTGCAGAGGAAGTGAGAGTCTGAGTAGGTGTCCAAGGTTTAGGGCGGAGCCCATTTGCACTGTTGCAGAGGCTCAGGGAAGCTTGTGTGCTGAGAAGGAAGTCAGAAGAGAGGAGCCATGTGTGGGGAGGTTTGTTAGAACAGACGCCAAAGACCCACTTTCTGAGAGAAAGAAAGAACATCTGCAAATAAGATGCTGTTCCTGCTACTGGTGTTGCTCACGGTTCTTGTCCCAGGTGGTGACAGTGATGATGGTGAGGACTGTGGCCCAGTTGAGGGGGGTGTGGTGTGGATATGTGTACACATGTGCACAAATATATGCACGTGTGTGCTCGTGTATGTCATGTATGCCGGCATGTGTGTTGTGTGCACACATGCGTGTCAAGTGCATACATGCTTGTTTATGTGTTTGTCATGCGCTTGCATCTGTGTGTTGCACACGTATGTGCGTACGTGTGAACATGTGTGGTCATGTGTGCTTGTGTTTCTGCATGTGCACATAAGTGTTATGAGTGTGTGTTATAATCCCCATGTGTGCATCTCTGGGTGTCTGCACATGTGCATGGGTGTATCATTTATGTACATGTGCTTGACTGTCTACATGAGTGTAAGTATGTATGAGTGTGTGTCTTTGTGTGTATCTGCATGTACGTCTGTGTGTGTGTCATGTGTGTAAAAGTGCTCTTTTAAAAATTTATTAGTTAACTCATTTTATTTTGTTGAATCCTCAAACACAATTAAATGAGTAGAAAATAAAATACATTTATGGAGCCAAGAATGTGAAATCTAAACTAGGTCTGGGCATGAAGCCGGGCCCAGACCGGTGAGAGGGTGCGACGAAGATCTGCCAACCTCAGATGTGGGGAGAAAGCAGTGTCTGCAGCTGCACTCCCATGGTTGTAGCAGTGCTAAGAGGGGAAGGTGTGGGAGCAGAGGTTGCCAAGGGAGTTACATCTTCATCACATCAAGAGCCCTGTGGTATTTAGCCAGAGTTTGGACAGGGTAACTTTGAAGGCCCTTTCACATCCATAAAGTATCTATTAACAACAAATAATTTCTCTTAGCTTTGTTTCCCCAAGACCCAACTTAAATCTGGAAGGTCTTTAAATCAGAGCTTGTATGATTAGATTCTTATAGTCTTTGTGTACATATTGACTCTGTTAGACACTATGTGTGTGTTTTAATATGTGTATATGTGTATTTGTGTGTGAATGTGTGCATGTGTATCTGTACATGTTTGTTTGTGCAAGACTGTATGAATGTAAGTTTGCACAGGTGTGTCAGTGTGTTTGGGCACATTCACCTGTGTGGTCACTCATGCCATGGATTCCCCAGCACACACATGGGGAGGGAGGGATGTCAGCCTGGTTCTTTCCTGGGCACCGCTGCCCCCAGGGCCCTGTGCTCTTCTGAACGATGGGCATGAAGCTCGGGGCTCCGGGGCAGCATGTGTCTCCTGAGAGCACTATGGCGCCCTGTCCTCCAGATTTTGGTGTCACTCCCTGGTCCCTTTTGCTGATTCTCTTCTTCCCAATGCCCTCCTCTTCCTCAGTCTATCTGTTCTTCTGCCACAGACTTCCAGGAACTAAGCTCCTTCCGAATCATCCTGACAATATCTTTTTACAACCATTCCTGGACACAGAATCAGGCCTCAGCTTGGCTGGATGAGCTGCAGACTCATACCTGGGACAGCAAGAAAGGCATCTTCATGAACAAGCAGCCTTGGTCCAAGGGCAACTTCAGCAATAAGGAGCTGACGGAACAGGAAAGGGCACTACAGGTGGCATCCATTAGAATTCCTCTGATATTTCAGGACCATGTCAGTCAATGGCAGCTTAAATGTGAGTTCAGGTCCCTCAGGGAAGGTGGGATGGAGGCGGCAGGTGTGTGTGTCTCCTAGAGTTTCTTCTTCCAGGAAAGAGTCTCCACTGGCTTCTGAACCTCTGGACTTCCCCTTGTGAAACTGAATGACACCCATCTGGGCAGGGGGCAGAAGGCAGTCCCCAGTTCTTAAAAGCTCCATGTATTCTGCTCCTTTCTCTCCTCTCATTGACCTCAGTCTGTGCTCTCATGTCTCCCACTAGTGTCTCCCATGACCACCCCCTTCCCTGGCCTCCACCTAGACAGCCTCCTCTCCCTCACTCTGTGACTGATCCTTGAATTGTGCTTTATTCCCCATTTAGTCCCCTCAGCGAACTCTATCTATGTGTTCCATGTCTTCACTACTGTCCCCTAACCCTGGATGGTTTTATCCAAGCTCTCCTGCTGAGCCCTTCCACGTCCCCTGCCCATACCTTTCCTGTCTCCCTCCAACAGCTGCTCCTTCCTCAGTCACTTCTTCCTCGGCCTGAAGCAGCCACCACTTCCACTCTGTCTGAGCCTCCGCTCAAACCAGATTTGCTTTATTCCCTCTAATACTCTCAACTTCACCCTCTGCTTCATCTGTCCTTGGCTTCCACTCACTCCATTTAATCTCTTTTCCCCCTTTTCCTGTGACTCATGATCTCTCTTCCCAGATCCCTTTCAGGTACAGATGGCCAAAGGGTGTGAGCTGCGCTTCGGAGAGAAATCAGTAGGATTTAAGAGGATTGCGTATCAAGGATCAGATCTCATGAGCTTCCAGAACACATCATGGATACCATCTCCGAAGGGAGGAGAAAGGGCTCAGCAGGTCTGCAAACTGTTCAATCAGTACCATGAGGTCAATTTAAGGATACAAGCACTTATTAAGGACCTCTGTTCCCGTTTCCTCTGGGAGCTTCTTGATGCAGGGAAGGCAGACCTGCAGCGACAAGGTCAGTTCTGCTCCCTCCCTGCAAGCATTCTCTCTCTGCACTCATAAAGTTGCAACATTTCCTCAAATTCAGGGTGAAAGGGGGCCAAGAAGGAGAGGGGGTCATGGTGACAGGATTCTAGAGCTGGAAAGATGTGTGTCTCTAAAGTATGAGATCTTCTCTCTCAGTCTGAGAAAACCTGTCCTGTCTCTGCAGTGAGGCCAGAGGCCTGGCTGTCCAGCGGCCCCAGTCCCGGCCCTGGCCGTCTGCTGCTGGTGTGCCACGTCTCCGGCTTCCACCCAAAGCCAGTGCGGGTGATGTGGATGCGGGGTGAGCAGGAGCAGCCGGGCACCCGGCGAGGCGACGTCCTGCCCCAGGCTGACGGGACCTGGTATCTTCAGGTCTCCTTGGAAGTGGAAGCCAGAGAGGCGGCCGGCCTGTCTTGCCGAGTGAGACACAGCAGTCTAGGAGGCCAGGACGTGGTCCTCTACTGGGGTGAGAAAGCGCTGGGGCCCCGCTGGGCAAGTGGGTGGGTGGCCCTTCAGCAAAGCAGGAAAGCCAGATGAAAAATTTGGGATTCTAGGTACTCCAGATCATAAGGCACATAAAATTAATAACCCAAGACATGGAGAGCTTAGAGTGAGGGTCCAGCAGATGTGGGAAGAAGCAGGGATGGGAGAGGAGAAAGAGGAAGGGTGGCTGGTGAGGGAGAGGGCGACAGGAACAAAGAGGGCCAGGAAGGTGCAGGCCAACCCGGGGTGGGTGGGAAGTGACACCCTCTGTGCACCAAACCCACAGAGCAGCACCGCCCCGTGGGCTGGGCCTTCCTGGCGGTGATGGTGCCACTGGTGCTTCTGGCTGGTCTTGCGTTCTGGCTCTGGAAGTGCCGGTAAGTCTCCCAAGCCACCTTCCTGCTCTTCCCAAGTGTCTCCCCACCTTCCTGCCTTCCTCACCTCTCCTCCTCCCAGTGCTCCTCCCCCTGCAGTCCTCACCTCCACCTGCTGCAAAGAGATTTCCAATCTGTTCCTCCAGGAAATCACCTTGGAGGCCTCAGTGCACTGGCCTCCCTTTGGAGAGAAATCCCAGCAGCCCAGGACCAGGACATTCCTAAACCCATCTCAGCGGTGATGGACTTGCAAGTCTCTGTGTGCAGCCTCTGTGTTCCCTTTCTGCTCAATGATCTGCTGTCTATATAAGCTGAGTGTCATTTAGCAGGAATTCTTGTTCTGACCTGATTCTGAGACTGAAATCTCAAAATTATCTTAGAATAAAGTGAAATCTGAGGATCTCCAAGGGTCACAGGCATCTTGTGTCACTTTGTCCCATAAGCCCTTCCTGACCCATCTAGTGGAAGCGGTCTTTGCCTGGTCAGAATTTCCACCACTTTAACCTGCAATGTGGATAATCTAATCCAGTTCCCATCTGTTTTTACCCTGCATTTAGGTCACTTTTCCCTTCTAACTCCTAGGTCTCTTGAGTGCAAAGTCCATGTCTTTTTAATAGTTGAATCCTTGGCAAAAAGTCACACCTGCATGGGATATGTCCTCAATAAAATGTGTTGAATTTGTGCCAAATTCATAGGTTTTTCTTCTTTTGCTTCCTGTCACATTTGTAGTAGTTGAAATGTTTGATGTTTTTCTTGATAAAAGTATTCTCACTCTGCTTGGAGATTTGACACTGTCATGCCTCCTTGGTAACATTTCTGAGCCCCTGAGGAGAACATAATTTTGCTTATGATTATTCCTATTATTTAAATACAGATACCTATTGGAGTGGACCTGTTACTTCATGTATTCTGAATAAAAGGAGGAAGGCAGGATGCAGGCCCTGGCTGTTTGAGTGGCTCAGAAACAGCAGCAGACATGTCACCTTGGGGCTTGTTGGGAATACGGGATCTTGGCTTCAGCTGAGCCTCACTGAATCACAATGTGCATTTCATTTTTTTTTTAAAACATGTATTCACTTTTGAGAGACACAGAGAGACAGAGCACAAGTAGGGGAGGGGCAGAGAGAGGGGAGACACAGAATCAGAAGCAGTCTCTAGGCTCTGAGCTGTCAGCACACAGCCCAAGACAGGGCTCAAACTTACAGACTGAGAGATCATGACCTGAGCTGAAGTCAGATGCCTAACAAACTGAGCCACCCAGGAGCCCTTCACAGTGCGCATTTTAACAAAATCATCAGGGGATTCACAGGTGCATAAAATGTGATGCCTGAGAGGTAGCAGCCCAAGTGTGTCCCTTGATGGAAAGAGATGGTCTTGAAGGAGAACAAGAGTGTTGTGCTTGGGAATGAATGGAAATCCATCAAGGAGTGCATACAGGGCATCCTCACATTCACAGCTGCCATGTTTCAGTCACTGAGGACAGGTTCAGTCAGTGTGAGCTGTTGCTCCCGGGGGAAATACAGGGTTCAGTTCCTGAGAGCCTCTGCCCATGACTACCAACTGACGAAAATGCAGCCTTATTTCATGTGTGTTTTTGTTTTAAAACAGCTTATTCAATATATATGTTTATATATTTCCAAATAACTTATTGTATGTTGTATTTCCCTATACTGAAATACCAGCTCAGAAGTATAATACATTTCCAGATTTGGTTACTGTGGTTGCCAGTGTCTTTGGCTTTCAGCCCCACAACTGTGCTGCTCATGATTATTTAGAAACAAAGAAGATATGGTCATCATTTCATGAATCCCCGTATTAAGCTCTCCCCCCCCTTTTTTTTGTGGCATCATCATAGAGTCCTAGATGTTACTTTAGCACTTTCGAGGTGGCTCCACATAGACATCACAAATTTCCTTTCCTTTTCCTGGGGTTACTGCATTATTGATTCATTACCACAGAACTCAAAGGCCCACAACTCTGCATCACAAGCTTGAGCAAGAGTTACCTGCACAGGAGTTTTGTCAGTGAGGCACACTGCAACTTCTTATGCTTAGGAACGCCAGTCAGCCCTGTAGTTCTGGGCTTCAGGGCCTTGTTAAAGACCGAAATCACCAAGAAAGTGCATGTAAATATAGAAAATATGGCACCAAATGGATTATTAAATGGACACATGTTTACATGTGGGAATTAACACGGGAAAGCAGAGCAGCAACTGGTTCAGCCTCACCAGGACACATGCGATGTGTCTGGTCTGGTCTGGTCACTATCCCTGCCATTATGAACAGCAGTGAGCTAATATGTTCTGGGGGTTACAAATCAATGTCACTAGGTAGCTCTATTAGCACAGACAGCCTCTGTGAATAATGAAGATAGACCCTTTGTGACTGATTATTTCCATGGCAGTGCTAGTTGAGATATCCATGAGTAGACTTTGTTACTCTAGTTTTTTAATTACCTCAGAAAATAATTCTCAAGCCCTGACCATGCAGAAGGACATTTTGAGTGTAAAGTAGTGGGGGAAGAAAAGATCATCGCTTTCTTTGGAAGTTGAAAATTTTGCTTCCTATTTAATTATGGTTTTCATTATTGTTTCTATCCAGTTTCTTAGCATAGCAACTTATTGTGGTTCAACGTGGGTGAAAGCCATAAGTTCTAATTTGTTTAGGGGCTGAAAGAGAGGGGTCCAGGGCAGGAGAACATCCAGAAAGACCAAGTGCAAGAATCCACCATGGTACATATGTGGACTTTCTGGAAAATAAAGTTGAGATAGGAGATGTGGCAGAGGTGCAACATACAGGATGGAGGTGAGCAAATCACAAGACTTCTGCCTTCTCATCTGAATTAGAGTTGCTTCTGCTTCTCTATGTTCTTGTCTACCTTGCCATTCTCAAATGGCCACCATGTGGTTTTTTGTGGGTTGACCCCACCCTCATGTGTAGCCCTGGGCCCTGATCAGCTTGAGTCCATCAGGTGAAAGCATTCTAGACCATGAGATAGGATGAAGGATGGACAAGTGACATTCAGGTGTCAGGTCAATCATCAGATAGATGCCACTTATCCTCATTCAGAGTGATGGTTCAGAGCCAGGCACTGATTCCAAGTGATGAGGTCACACGAAGCTTGATTCTTTCAATTGATGGGAGGGGAAAGAGAGCCTCTTTCTTGTCCTGGATGATAACATTGGGGTATACACCTTGAAACTATTAAAATACATTTGTCAGCACCAGAGAAGGAAAGGTGTGGATGAAACCTGTATGTAAGATGGCAGAGAAATTTTATACATGAAATTTGCCAGGAGATAGATCCAAAGTGTTCTCATTATGAGGAAGATAAAGAGAAGAAAAGAAAAAGGAAGAGGATGGTCAGGGAAGAAGAGCTAAGATGGAAGAATAGTAAGAGCACCCCAGCCTTGCCTCATCCCTTGAACACAATCAGATAAATATCAAATTATTCTAAATACCCAATATATCAATCTGAGGACGAAGAGAACAAACTGCACAACTAAAGGCAGAGAAGATGCTACCTCGTGGGAAGTGGGAGGTGTGAAGTTGTGTTTTGGGGAGATACAGATCACAGGTCCTGCGGGGGAGAGGGAACCCTGGGTACAGACAGAGGAGAGAGGGAAGAGGGCGGGGGGAAGTAAGGGAGGGAGGAAGGGGGAAAGAGAGAGAGAGAGAGAGAGAGAGAGAGAGAGAGAGAGAGAAATGTACAGGGGATCACAGAAGGAAAATATTTTTCCAATGCCATTGGCTGGGAAAAGGAGAGAGGCTGATTTTCATGAGTTTTACAACCACTGGAGCTCAAAGACTGGAGTGTTAGAAGTACATGTTGTGGCCAGTGTGAAACACAGAGGGTTGGCAGCACTCCTGTGGAGAAGGACAGAAAACCCGCGGCAGACGGCCAGAACTGAGGAGTCCCTGGGGTACACTGGGAGAGACTGTCTCCCCTTCTTGGAGCGCACCTGGGAGAGGTGGAATTGTCTCTGTGGGGACAGTAGTGCTGGGAGGCACCATTGCCCTTCCCCACCTCTTAGCACGTGCACAGAGACTCTCGCAAAGGGCGGCTAACCTAGATGCTCTTTGCTGCACTTTAGTCCAAATACACACCCCTGTGCTTTGGTGCAAGTGCCCTTCTGGGAGCAACTTGCACCAGTCCCAAGATGGCAAGACCCTCCCAGGACCAGTGTGGGTCCACATCATGCCAGGTCCTTAAAGTTTGGAGTTTTAAAACTCAGTCTTCATGTCTGGGATAGGGCACAGGGGCATTATGCTGCTGGGTGCACAGATAGTCTGGGAAAGGCAGGGTGAAGGCAGAATGTCGGAGGCCGCGCCAGCTCCGACAGGTCCAGTGGTCCCTGAAGGATGGACGGTGTCAGCGAAAGAGAATGAGAGAGCCCCGAGATTCTGATCACCAGGCAGGCATCTCTGTCTTGTCGGTTTTTGTGTCTTTATTTAAAGGTTCAGCAACAACATGAAGTCAGAGAAAGGAATTTCTACAATGGGAGGCCTTTTGCGATAACAAGTTTTTTATATTCTGCAGAATTATCCCAGTCATCGTGAATTTATAACCAAGGAATTAACAGGATGCTCTTAGTGAAAAACAGGATAATATACAGGTTACGTTGTATATAGATAAGCTAGGAGTCATTCTGTCTAGCTCTCAAGAGGATGAATGTTTCTGAATTGGTTTGTTTGTGGAGACTATCATGGGGGCCCTGAATGGGTCCGTCTTTTGCCCCTGGGTTATGTTTTAGCTACTCTTATCTATCCTCATCCCAGCTGCCAGTGTAAGGGAGGGGGTTTGTGGAACGTAGGCCTTGAGGAAGGGACTGTTATGTTTCACCAATTAGCAAAGATATAGGTAGTAACTTATGTTTTGCTCTTAACCCCAAAATAGCCCCTTAGTCTCAGGGCCAAGCTCAGTTATAATTCTTGTGTTCTTAACCCCCTAAGTCTCGGATCTGCAAGGCCCATAGGAAGAGCCTTTTGACAATCATCCATAGAGCTTTCATCTAAAATCTCTCTTGCAAAGGCAGAAATATGCTTTTCCTTATGAGGTATCTGTGTTCAGAATATGGGTCTGATATGGAATATTGTGAGGCCTGGTCAATACCAGCAGGCCTATATCCGACATGAGCCAGTAGTAGCAGAAGGAGATACCAGTTTTCATATGTCATGGTAGGAGCTGCAAACATTGCCACTTCCTTGCTGTGACTGCCATCCAGAGAGGCCGGTGCAGCTCCCAGCAGCAGAGATCTGAGTGATGCTTGGGAC